GGGTGAGCATGCTACCGTTTGAGCCACAACCCCAGCCCAATGAAAAGAATCTTATTGGTAGTTTTGATGAAGGGATTACTTTGCATATTTTTAATTATCTGTACATGTTTCCAGATAGCCCATTCACTCTGTTTTGATTCTACTGTTTTGGCCTCTTGTGCTTACTGAGGTTTTAATTAAAAGTTGAGGTAAGTTGTTAGGTGGACTCAGTATTTTCTTGTGTCTGCCTACCTAATTCATCTGTGAAGGTGATATGATAGGAAATAGTGGGCAGAAGGAGAAAACAGGCAAACACTTCAGAGAACCTTTAGAACAAGCATATGCATATGTGGGTATTTAAATATACACACACATTCACATGAGTATGTATAAATGGTAAAATATCCCATAGAAAAATGAAGCATTTAAAATTTCTAATTGGAATTGATGCCCATATATTGTACATTTAGCAACAATAGGAAATGTTCCACATTCTCTAGATCAGGGAATCCCCTTCAGAAATTCACTAAAAACCTATGTATCACAGTTTTCTATAATATGCTTAATACATTTTAAATTTCTATTTTGGGTTAGGAATTATCAGCATGGACATGTAATTTTGCCTCTTAGCTTATACAAGAAAGGATTACAGTATTTTTAATTGTTACAAGTGTTAGAAGAACTTTTGCAGTTATTTAAGTGCAGCCTTCATTTTCCATACAAGGAAACAAAAACTCAAAGCAATTGATGAGGCTAAATGACCAGTAAAATAAGGAAGCCAGGAACAGGTCCTAGGATTTTCTTTCTTTTTCTTCTTCTTTCTCCCTCCCTCTCTTCCTCTGTCTCCCCTGCTCCCTCTCCCTTCTTCCTCCCTGATTGTTCATCCTCCAGTGCTGGGTTAACCCAGGGCCTTGAGCTTGCTACCCTCCACCACTGAGCCACATTCCAGCCGAATCCAGCTCGAGGCTCTTTCCGAGTGCTGGGCTTCAGATTCATAAATCACCAGGCTTTTCCATCGGGCCCGCTGAGTGGCTGAGTGTCGTCTTGCCACCGAGGACTCGTAGCGTGCACACCTGTGTCTGTCCTTCCTAATGCCTCCTGTTTCACCCCCGCCTACGGTTGTGGTCAGTTTGTCCTCTCTGAATGGCCACCGTCTCCTAGTGCTCTCTCTTTCCTTCCTATGTTAACCCAGAGCAGGTCTTAGATAAATTAAACTATCATCTTGGACTATTTGATTCATGTGCCGAAAGAGACAGCAGGAAGTGGCAACTGAAGTTAGTCCAGGACCCTCTCAACATGCTTGAGGCAGGGTCACTTTGTCCCTTTGGGCTTACCCATCTGCTTCCCATCTGTCCTGCTCTCCTGGGCGCTGCTCTTAGACAGTGTCTGTCTTTATGACTGCATTAAAATTTTCTATTATATGAGCTTACCTCTCCAGATCTGTTTATGGACTAAGACAGTTTTACTGAATTTTCTTAAATTTGCACTTGGAAATTATTGTGTCCAAAATTAAAATAAAGCATACACAAGAAGCTATTCTGGTCCACTCTTTACATTCTGATGTTGAAAAGCTGTTTTTCTTTGATTCTAAAGATAAGGAAAATGAAGAATAAGATATTTTGGTTCTGAAATCAAGAGGAAATAAAGAAGAAAATATTTTAAGAATTATAATTTCAATTGGAATGTAATAAACTCTTTGAACTTATTTCTCTATTGCCTTGCTGTATTTTGACCTGAAGCCCCATCAAAAGAAATTGTCATAATTTTATATATATATTGTGTGAAAAGTTTTACAGATTTTTGGTAAAAATTAAATTCAACATAAAAAGGGTAGAATGAATTATACTTCTTTTTGTCCATTGATACTATTTGCACAGTCATTAAGGTCATTCAGCACATAATGAGTGCAGGTTCCAGGAGGAGACAGAGGAGAGGCCAGTTCCTACTTGGGGAACGAGGACGCCTCATGCAGAAGTGGCCTTGTTGACTTCTGCAGCTCCTCATCCAGGACTCGAGCCTGGGGCTGGGCTGCCAGGCTGCCTTGCGGGAGCCACGTGTGGCCGTCCTCACACGCCATCCGCTTTGTAGTGCGTTGGTAGTTTGCAATCAACCATGGAGAGAGTATTCACTACAAGGAAATTAGCAAATGCTACACACTAGGGCTTTTCTCCTTCCCCACACCCAGTGGGTTGTTAAACACTTCCCAGAAAACCACTACCTAACCCTTTGACATGAGAGCCACTAGCGTGAAGAGGAAGAGGGTCACCCATCTGAGACGGAGACCTGGGCGGGTCCCCGAGGACGAAGCACAGGTGCAGATGCCTGCACTCCCTGAAAACGGACAGAGCAGAGAGGGGTTAAATTAGAGAAGGCTTGATGAGGCAAGACATTTCAGCAGTCAAAGTATCCGAAGGTCACTGCTAAGAACCGAGTGACCCAAGGCAATAACTGAACGAAGTGTCCCAAAATATTTAGCAAAAAGGTAAAGAAAATAAAACCATTCAGGCAGTAAGAAATATGGAGGGAAGATCCACAAGATTTTGCATGTAAATGAATATATCATGGGAGTTTAATGGAAAGAAAAATGGACAAAACAAGGATGAAATAAGTTGTAGGGGAGTCTTGGTTTCACTCTTCTTTAGAAAGCCTTGGGGTGTTGGAAAGATCCACTAGATTTTAGAAAGGATTAATGAAAAAACTGTGTAAGGATTCTAGAAAGGAAGGAAGAAAAAAAATAAAGAATCCACGTGGGCTGGGGATATAGCTCAGTTGGTAGAGTGTTTGCCTCGAATAAGACCCTGGGTTTGATCCCCAGCACAACAAAGAAAAAAAGAAATAAGAACAAAAGAAAAAAAAGATATGCCAAGAATATTTTTTGAGATGTTCTTCAGACTCCATAAACCAGAAGGTGGAGAACCTAAAGGCAAAATCTGTTGCATAGGAAAGAAATTGGTTCCAGAGGACTGTGCTCAATCGAGACAGCCTGCATTTGTCAGTGTTTTAAAAAGGTGTTTTCAAATAAATACAGAAATGTCTCAGTATGTGTATTTATTTTGAGGAAGCTGCTGAAGAAAGTACTCCAACTAATCTTGAAGTAAATGTGATTGCTTAAATATGCCTATGCACTCCTGCTCCAAACCCCACTAAACTGAAGTTTTTGAAGACATGGGCCCTCAAGGGAAAGAGAGCGAATTGCATTTTAGAAAAGGAAAAGGTAAAAGATAATTTTCTACTGACTTTGCAATATAGGAAAGTTGAATCCTAAACTGGCAAGGGAGAAAGAGTTGTTCATTATCACTTTATGTTCCCACTGTGGAAAGGGATGGACGAATCCAAAAGCATCTGAATACGTGAGTGTGTCTCAGGCAGAGTTCTGGGCAGGTAGGACTTATCAGCAAGCAGAAGCGCTGGCTGCCCTCTGGGGATCTGCCTTCCTGCAGGCTGGCAGGCTGTGTGCATTCTCAGCTCCCCCAGGGCAGCTGTACAGGCGGCAGTGGATGAGATCCTGTTCAGAAAAGAGACTGGCCCTTTGTCTGGCCTGTCAGCCTGGAGCGAAGACTGGAAACCAGTATATTGTCACCAGAGGACCAACAGCGGGAGCATTCAAGGAGAGTCCAGGGTCGAGCCAGGGCAGTGAGGCTGTACTGGGTATCAGGCCACAGGGGAACTTGCAGGAGATAAAGCCACTCTGGTTATGAGGAGGAATAGCTTTATGCTAGAACGGCTGGTGGAATGGTCAGTTATGATCAAGTCCTACACATGGACCTGAATACCTTTCAAAGTGGGATATCAACAAAAGGGTGGAAGTTGATGTGGAGCATATCAGTTTGTCTCAGATGTGATGAAAGATGGTGCGTTCAATTTGGGCACGTTCTTTCTCCATATGGCCTGAGTTGGCACACCAGCAGTTGATTAGACCAAGTAAAATAGTAATGAATGTCTTGCCATTAAAGCGGTCCCAGAATGTGTTGCCTTCCCATTCCCGATGATATGTACGATGCGTGCGTGTCTGAAGAAGGGGCTTGTCAAGTCTTCTGTGAACCACTAGAAGAAATGCATTTCTCTCTCTCTCTCTCTCTCACACACACACACACACACATAATTACACACAATTGTCATAAAAAATACTGTGTTACAAGTGTTTTGATAATTGGTTTTGCTGAGCATGTCTCACTAAATTGGGTTTATGGACTGATTCCTTTTTTCCCTTTGTTCTTTATAGTTATATGTGACAGTAGAATGTATTTTGACATATCATATATTCATGGAGTATAGCTTCCCATTCTTGTGGTTGTACATGATGTGGAGTACGCTGTTTGTGTATTCATATATGAACACAGGAAAGTTATGTCCAATTCATTCTACTGTCTTTCCTGTTCCCATCCCCCTCCCTTCCCTTCATTCCCCTTTGTCTGTCCCCCCTCCCACCCCTTATTGTGTGTTAGCATCCATATATCAGAGAGAACATTTGACCTTTGCTTTTTTGGGATTGACTTATTTTACTTAGATGGTAGTCTCCATTTCCACCCATTTACTGGCAAATGCCATAATTTCATTTTTCTTTATGACTGAGTAGTATTCCATTGTGTGTGTGTACCACATTTTCTTTATCTGTTCATCTGTTGAAGGGCACCTAGGCTGTTTTCATGGACTGATTTCTTTATGCAAGTTGATAAATATGACCCAAAGCAGTTCTGTTTGAAGGTATGACATCTCTTGCCCTTAGAGCTTATTGTAAATGCAGATTACCCAACCTTTCCCCGTGTGGGTGGAATGCAGGAATGGAGGCTCATTTAATCCAAGTGATTCAAATGCCCAGTGACATTTGAGAAGAACTGATCCTCTTTATACTCCAAAAGGCCTTGTGATTTTGCCACATTATAAATTAAAACTGGAGAAATTTAAAAAACTTTACTAATTTATTTTTTAGCTGGGTGTGGTGGTGCATGCCTGTAATCCCAACGAGAGGCCAAGGCAGGAGAATCACAAGTTCAAGGCCAACCTCAGTAACTTACTGAGGCCGTAAGCAACCTAGCGAGACCCTATCTCAAAATTTTAAAAATAGGGATGTGGCTCAGTAACAAAATGCCCCTGTGTTTAATCCCTAATACTAGAAAATTTAAAAAGTAAAAATTTTATCAATTCATTTTAAAGTTCATGATAGTAAATCCATTTTGCTTTGACATAAGGGCAATGGCGTCATCACATCTTGTGTATCCCTCAGAACTAGGAACCTCTGCAGATCGAGGGACTCCTGATAAAATGAGAGTTTTTTTGTTTGTTTTAAAAAGGAAAATCAATCTTAGGACTATGAAACATATTTTAACTTTGCAGGACCCTGAATAGCTCCTACACTGCTCATTTTGAGAAGAGTGGGCCAAATTTCTCTAATACTTTCTTATAGGATAATTAATTATGGAGTTACATGGGATGGTTCCATCACTGTCCCAATGTCAGGGGATGACCAGGAACTTTCCAAAACCTGGAAGCTCCCATGGAGGTCTGTGGTTAAATTCTCAGAACTACATTTGTATTAAGGTTATATAGCTTCTGGGTTTGTCTTGAAGGGGAATAGATTTCTTGGGCTTTCCTGACCCTTCAATTTCATGAAATACCTTCCCATAGAAAAATGAGCTGCAGATCTTGAAAGTATTTATATTTTAATTTTGGATATTTTTAGTTTCATTTCTATTTAGAGTGAGTTTTAGACATAATATTCAGATCATTTCTTTCAAATAAATTCAGAATTGTATAAACACATCTTACTGCTGATGGTCCAGCACTCAGGTTGCTCCTGCTGCGCTGTTTAATGCTCTACTATAGCGGACAGTCCTGCGATAAGTAGCTTTAGAAGTTCTGTGGTTGCACAGCTCTTGCGGGATGTCTTAGCCTTCAGCTCTAGAGCGGGGAGACCCCCCCCACACACACACTCACTGCACTTCTCTAGGAACTCTGTGCGTGGTGGAGGTTTCCCTGCTGCGCAGCCCTCAGCCACACCAGTGGTCCTCCCCAGGCCTTCCCAGGTAGACCCCTGCCCCTTGGATCAGCTAACTTATGGTGGGAAGAGAGAGTGAGGGAGAGAGAAATTCACTGATCAATTGGTGGAAGAGGCCCAGGCCCTGAGTTCACACACACAGGCAAGAGAATCACACCTTTATTTTCTTTGAATCCTTTGCACTAGAAAACATGAACCTGCCCTTGTCCTTGACCAGCATCACTCCTCTTCTAGTCTCCATTTCCTTAGAAGTAAAATTGTGGGTGGGAGTGAGAAAGAGCAGCAGATGCGAGGAGCTTAAGCTTTTCCTAGAGATCTCTGTGGGCATGCGTATTTATAATTGTTTTTGTTCTGTGAGTCAATTTATGATCTCCTTTCCCAAATATGACAGTAAACTTCCAGCAGGGCATTTTGTCTTACTGAAAAATCTTGCACCCTGACTCCTGCACCTTGTACGTTACTAAACCATAATAGATGCCTGATAAAATACTCGTTTGAATGGCTAGTAACTCTCTAAGATGGAGGCACAACTGTTAACGTTGTACATGTGGTTGATGGATTGATTGATTGATTTCCCTCAGGACATGTGTTAACAGAGAATGAGACACACCAGCTACTGGCAATTGCATCATCGTTGTTTGTGGCATCCCAATTACGAGCCCAACATTTTCAAGACCATTCAAGGTATGGTGGATCTTTTAAAACTGAATAAATGAGCAGGAAATGTTGCTAATCTAATCTGCATAGGAAATAGCCAATAAAAGATCCAGGTGGTCTCAGTACTAGATCTTCTGATGGTTCTTTTGGGGAAATACAATGAAGACATTGTTTAAATATGATATTTTGTTCAAACAAGTTTTTTAAATTAAAGGAAAAAAGATCTTGGCCTCTTTGACTTGGATATTAGGAGAGGTGAGATTTCTGACATTTTTTAGAAAATCTATTCAATTTATTATTCTATTTTATTGCTTTGTTGGTGTTTTTAAAAGCTTTGAGAAGTGTTATAGTCTTCAAAATTTGGAATTAATCTGGGCAGTTAAAAGGTGTATTTCAGAAGCTATGAGGTGTTAAAAAGGACTCAACACCAGTATGAGGTATTTTCTTGGCCCCATGCATACCTTTTAGCTTCCTAGGACCGGGTGAAAGGATAAGTACAAACACAGTCCCAGTAACACTGGTGCTTCTGGGTGACTGGACGTTGTATTGTGTGTGTGTATACTTGCTCGAGTAATTCTGTTGAGAAAATTGTGTTACTTCAATTTCTTTTTGTTCCCTTTTGCTTTTCTACAAGGATAAGATCAAAAACAAAAGGTGAAAGTTGACCAAAAGCACAAATCAGAAACTCAAAAGTGATTTGTGAGGAAGCAGATAGAAGAAAAACGAAAATGAGGTTAGGCTGTATTTTAATGGATGATGTGATTTTGCTCAGAAAATCTCACAGTAGCTAGTACTCTTCATTTGCGGTATTTCTCAAGAGAAAGTACAAGAAGCTTGGTGTGCATTTTCTTAACCTCACGCTCTGGTAGATACACAGGGAGAGGAGAAAGGATGTGGATACCAGCACATCACTGCACCAGGGGAGGGAGCAGGGAAACGGTCAGCAGAACCGCGAGTCTGGTGCTGGTGTTTTCTTTCAGTTGTGTTTTCCAGAATACATGACCGCTGGCCACAGATGGCTATTAAAACTGACTTTAAAACTGCTTTTGTAGTCCTGTGAGCCACATGTGGTTAGTGGCTGTGTGTTGGGCTACACTAACTTCCTCTTCATCATGACGGTTCTGTTTCCAACAAGCTCTGTTGGACAGAATTCTTCTAGAGGGATGTGTGTGCAGAAAGTCTCCTGCAGATCCTAGCTTTGGCCTGAATTGCATACCTCATATTACTTTTTTTGGGGGGGACACCAAGGATTGAACTCAGGGGCACTCAACCACTGAGCCATATCCCTAGCACTTTTGTGTGTTTTATTTAGAGACAAGGTTTCACTGAGTTGCTTAGCACATCCCTGTTGCTGAGACTGGCTTTGAACTTGTGATCCTCCTGACTCAGCCTCCCAAGATGCTGGAATTACAGGCTAGTATAACTTTTTATTATTCTTTTGACAAATGCAATATTTATACTGACTCCCTTATCTCCAGTTATTATTTGGATCTTTATTATTTCAGAAGTCTTAATGTAGCTAAAAATGAACTGGTTTGATTTTTTAAGAAACAGATGCAAGTTATTTTTAGAGGGTGTTAACTTATTCTGGGTGAGAATCCCACAAGGGTTTTAAAAGATAAAAAGGCAGCAAAAAAGTAGCTGGGCATGGTAGTATATGCCTATAATTTCAGCCTCTCTGGAGGCTGTGGTTGGAGGATTGCAAATTTGAAGTCAGTCTCAGCAATTTAGCAAGACCTTGTCTCCAAAAAAATTTTAAAGGGTCGGACTGGGGATGTAGCTCAGTAGTGGAGCACTTGCCTAGCATGTACAAGGTCCTGGGTTCAATCCCCAACACAGCCATATATATACTCACATACATACACACATACCCATACATATATACATACACATATCTGAGTGTACATACATGTATGTTTTATATTATTAGATTCATACTGGGAATGTAGTTTTTATTCTGTTTTTTTAAACATGTTGTGAATATTTTCTATTTGTTAAGTGGTCTTTGGAAACATTTTAAATCAATTTTTGATTATGGAGGCTCTTAAACAAATATGAAATAAGCAGAATAGTAAAACGATCCCTGAAGTAATCATTACACAGCTTCAACAACATCATCTGCCTTCCTTGTTCCATCTTGACCCTCTACCCACTCCTCACTTTTTTACTTGTGCTTTAAGGTAAAATTTACATACATATAAGTAGAGAGGTCTGACCTGCAGGATCTTAACAAATGGATGCTCCAGCGCAACCCACACCCCTGTATGTAGGTACTGAACGTTACCATCACCTCAGGAAGTGCTCCCGCCCCAGATGTTAGTGCTGCCTTCAATAGATTTATTCCTTAAAGTGATCTTCCTTTGTATTTGTCTTTTGCATAATTTCTGCCTAAAATTATAAGTTTGCTAATTGTTACGTTAAGAATCTTAAATATCTTATTTTTAAGCTCGTATCTGTAGATACTGAAAAACATTAATTAATAAAGTATGTAGATCAAAAGTTCAGTTATGCAGTTATGTGTACATACATTTCTTATATAATTATTCACTTGGGTGAGTTTAATTTTGGTTGAGCACATAATTTACTCAACAGGCCAGATTATTGTGACATTGTACCACCCATAACAGCAGAGGCCTCTGATATCTAGCAAAATATATTCCTCTTCTGGACAAGGCACAGTCTTGTTTGGCCAAGGTGAAGCTGAGGTTACCTTTGCTTGTTGCTAGAGGTCCCCAGGCACCCTGTCATCAGACCTGAGGTAGGTGCTGAGTCTGTACGCTGGGCTTCTGAGGCGCGTCAGATGACTGGCTCCGAACCCAGGCTGAGTCACCTCCAGGTGTGGCTCCCTGTGTTGTCGTGGGCGTGTTCTTGTCGTGTTTTAGCTTCCAAACCAGTAGCCAGCAGCCCTTCCTCTGTGCTGCTTATTTTGGCTACTGATCTTATTTTCCCAATTTGTCTGTGGGTTTTACTCTTTCATCATTTATGACTTGGAAAAGGACAATAATATGTATCCTTAATATTTAGATAGTAAAATGATAGCAGTATATTTCAGGCAAAAAAAGAAACATCAATGTCAGAAATGATAGCAATTTTTTATTAAGAAGAGAATAAAATTTGAACATGATTTTTTTTTTTACATAAATGCATGTTGACTTGCTATGGAGTTATATTTCTCCATGATCATTCTTTTTTTTTTTTTTTTAACACTTTTGGGTTGGAGGGTGTCGCTCCGTGCTAGAGTGCTTGCTTAGCATGAGCGAGACCTGGGTTCAATTCCCAGCACCAAAACCAACCAGCCTACCACCTACCACTTTCTTTGTCAGAAATAAACCATCAAAAGCTGTATTAAATGACCACTTCGCATTAGCTGAAGCCAGATGATTTCGTTGGCACTGCAGTTTGGTGTAATAATTTGTTTCACTGACAATGATTACCTGCATTCTTTTTTCTTCTAATCAACTTTATTTTTGCTTGAAATGCCTGTTCTCCTAGATTCCCAATGTTGCCCCTGGAGTAGGGTTTCCTTTGTTGAGAATTGGGGTAATTTGTCTGGGTCCTGCCCTTGTCCACCTGGTGAGAATGCCATTCTGCTCTCACCAATGGCTGTGCGTCCTTCTTGCTCCATTGTTTTTGTACTGTGATTCCTTACTTTTGTTCAGTTTTGTCACTCTGAAAATTATCCTCCATCCTTTCTTATCTGTCACTCAGCCTTCTTAGTTCCATGAGTGTCATCTCTCTGCTAAGGTAACTCATCATTGTCGGGATGACCGGTTCTAGTGCTGGGCAGGCCACTTCCCTGTGGTGGAGTAACTGGTGACTAGGTCCACCTTTCCTAGGGAGGGCACGCTTTGCGTGTTTTAAGATTGAGGCGGGGGCCTGGTTCCGTATAAGCCCCTAACTTCCTCTTAAAAATCATGCTCAGGGATGAGCCCTGCTGTAGTGGGCCTGGTGAATGATATCTGTTTGCATACATTTCAGGGTGTTTGAGTGCATATGAGGGTAACTGTCAACTCTGAGTTTTATAAAAGTATTTTGCGGGGTGCAGTGGTGCATGCCTGTAATCCCAGTGGCTTGGGAGTCTGAGGCAGGAGGATCTTGAGTTCAAAGACAGCCTCAGCAACTTAGTGAGGCCTTAAGTAACTCAGCAAGACCCTGTCTCTAAATAAAAATATTAAAAAGGGCTGGGATGTGGCTAAGTGGTTAAGTGCCTCTGGGTTCAGTCCCTGGTACAAAAAAAAAAAAAAGATTACTTGCAGATATGTAGTAAACACATTAGTTTTATTGGATTCTTTTGGTTTGCTTGCTTTTCTTTCTTTTTTCACTTTTTTCTCCAGCCCCCAGAGGATGTGTTCAGAATCCTAAACATTTATTTTACAAATGAACAATTAGAAACAATAGCAACTCTTTAATCTATCTGGAGGTTACGTATGATTAGGAGTACTGATGATATTTACATTTCTTTGTATTGTGGTAGAAAACACATAAAGATTTTTACCATCTTAACCATTTCTAAGTGGACTTCACCATTTCTAAGTTCAGTAGTGTGGACTGGATGCACATTGTTGAGCATTGGCTCTCTAGAACCTTTAGATGTTGAAAAATGAAACTCCATATCCCTTGAAGAACTGCCCCTTCGATGCTGCCCCTGCTAACTAGCATTCTGCTTCCTGTTTCTAGGAGTTTGACTCTTTCAGCATTTGTATTTTCTTTGTATCAGTTGTTCCTTCTGAATCACTTGAGATGCTTTCAGGAGATTACATCCTCCACTGATGGTGGCTCCGTGTCTTCCTTGCTGTGAGTCATATGGTTTTCTGCTGGCTTGTGTGTTCATTACTTGTTTTGTTTATGTGAGACTGGGTCTCCCTGTGTGGCCTTGGCTGGTCTTGAACTCCTGGGCCTAAGCGACACTCCTCCTTGACCCCCGAGGAGTGTGACTCTGGGCAGGGCCAGCATCTCAGTTATCTTGATGTGTGGGAGCACAGATCTCTGTGTCTGAGATGGGTTTTTCCATGGTTCTGCCATGAGGA